TTCACCGTGTTAGCCAGGATGGTCTCGATCTCCTGACCTCGTGATCCGCCCATCTCAGCCTCCCAAAGTGCTGGGATTACAGGCTTGAGCCACCATGACCGGCCATAAAATCATTTTTAAAGTAGAAAATCAAATTTTATGTTTCCATTAGTGTATTTTTAATGTTAAAGCTAGTTTTAATAACATTTTATAAATCTATTCAGTTTTAATTAGTTTGACCATAAGGTAAGATTTATATAAACATTTTATAATGCTTTACAATATTTTTTTTCTCAGAGCAGAACAATGTTCTAAGCAAACTCTGTTGTGCTTCTATTCCAATGTCCAATTTATGGGGGAAAAAACTAAATAATGCCAGTTTAACTTTAGCCAATATGTTCACACATAAAATCTCTTATAATTAATTTTTATAAACCTTTCACAACTTGTTCAAACCTTTAGCTTTATTTAACTTAAAACAATTCTTTAACCCTCTAACCTAGGCAAAAATTTACATTCCCATACTTTCTTATAATCTCTTGCAAAAACACATTTTATTCTCTTACACATCTTGTATGTACACTTATTTTTTCAGTAGTCTCAATTACATGTTACAATGTTAACTCTTAGTGACTTTTACTTTTGGTGAAAACCTTGGTAAGTAAGGGATTTTAATTACGTATTAGGTGTGGAGCCTAGGACCCAGAGAGAAATGCAAATAAAGTCTGACTCTTTCCAGTGTCTAACTCCATGTGTCCCAGACCTTACCTAGCTGTAAAGCAGGCAAGCTGTACAGTTGAGTCATAGCAGCATTTTATGAAGCATTTAGGAGGCCTAATCACCTTTAAATTGTACAACATTTTTGGCATAAATTTCTTTTCTTAAATTATTTCACGACTTACACAGACCATGTACAACATGTTTAGACTTTATGACTTGCCCTAAACATCCCTCTTTTAAACAACCAGTCCTTTTACTTTAGGACAAGAATTTACCACACAACATCCTTTTTTATATAAAATCTCTTTTCTTTATAACCTTCTTTGCATAGCTGGAGGGCATGGCTGATTCCATACATCCCCATGCCTTATTTAGAATTTAATGTCTTCAAAATAAATTGAACAGTTTTCAAAAGTCAAAGCAGTTTATGACCTTAAAGCCTTTAGCAAACCTAATATCTGACCTGCATAATTTAGAGTAAATGTTTTTATCAATAATCTTTAAAACTATTTTTATTTGCCAAAGATTACTGAAGTTACATGAACTAGAAGGCATTACTGTTTTTATTTTGCTTTGTGTGTGTGTGTGTGTGTGTGTGTGTGAATTTGTTTTTATTGGGGAACAGGGCACAGGTTGGGAGATGTCACCTTGGGCTATCGTATGCCCCACCTCCCAGAGAATGTCCGTTTGCATTCTAATCTTCCTGGGATGCTTTATGGAACTTTTTCTTCTTCTTGGAGCTGCTCTTGCCAGCTGCCTCTTCAGGCCCACTGCTGACTGGCTCCTCTCTGGAGAATTTCCTCTTTTTCTTGGAGCCACTTCTGTGGCCTGCCTCTTCGGGGTCATTAACTGTTTCCTCCTTGGGTGAAGACTTCTTCCTCTTGGGAAGACTGGTGCTGCCAGCGGTCTCTTCAAGATCACTACTCATCAACTCCTCCTTGGAAAAAGATTTCTTTTTCTTGGGTTTGGAGAAAGAGATAGATGGGTCTTCCATTCCATTCTCATGAGGAACCTCCTGGGGCTTCTACTTTTTCTTCTTTTTGGGTTTTTCACTCGTCTCCTCACACTCCTCTGGAGTACTACTGCTGTTTTCTGAAGATGTGAGGGCAAGTGCAACCAGCTGTTTCTTTTCCTTCTTTAAGCATTTCTTCTCCTGTTTCTCCAGCTTCCTAGTAATCTCAGCAGCCGCTTCCTCTGCCTGAACCATTTCTTCCTTCATGACATCCAGATTCTTTCATGGTATCTCTCCAGTCTCATAGAAGGACAGTCGCTCTTCAACTTGTTCTCAAAGCCTCTCCCCAAATACACTCGTGGGCACCTCAGAGAAGCAATCAATTCGTGAGGCAATACTGCATTTGTTTGCCAGGTATTGGGAGATGTGGCCTTTGTTCTTGGCAGCTGCTCGGCCAATGAAGGTGGAGTGGAAAATGAGTCCATATTTTGGTGTGTTACCCCTTGTCTTCAGGGCTCTGGAGACTTGGTCCCTTTGCTGGGCCCTGGGAATCACTCAGACACCAGGACTAGCTATTTTGCTTTTAAGAGTTTATTTTTGTTTAAGCCAACTAATTAGAGCTCTTTTATATAAACATTACACACAACACATATGTAGTTACACAGAAAGACAGACAGGCAGAAGATTACTACAGTAGTTGTAAGATTTTTCATTTGCCAATTTTTAAGTTTCTTAATTGGTTATTGGCTTTAGGGTGGAGCCCTTGGAAAAACAGGGCCAGGAAAGAGGTTGAATATCCACTTTTAATTAAGATGACTTTTAATCATAGCACCTTTTAATGAAATCCATTTAAAATTTCCTATTACCTAATTTTAGCCAGGCTAAATGGCCAATATTTCTGGCTTTTGAAATTTACCAGAGGTAACCTCCCAAGTGCTCAGAGAAAGGAAAATTTGTTTGAGGCGGAGTCTCACTCTATCACTTGGCTGCAGTGCAGTGGCACGCTCTTGGCTCACTGCAACCTCTGCCTCCTGGATTCAAGCGATTCTCCTGCCTCAGCTTCCCGAGTAGCTGGGGCTATTGGTGTGTGCCACCATGCCCGCTAATTTTTGTTTTTGTTTTTTTTTTTTTTTTTTGAGACAGAGTCTCACTCTGTCACCCAGGCTGGAGTGCAGTGGTGCGATCTCAGCTCACTGCAAGCTCCGCCTCCTGGGTTCACGCCATTCTCCTGCCTCAGCCACCTGAGTAGCTGGGACTACAGGAGCCCGCTACCATGCCCGGCTAATTTTTTTTGTATTTTTAGTAGAGACGGGGTTTCACCATGTTAGCCAGGATGGTCTCGATCTCCTGACCTTGTGATCCACCCGTCTCAGCCTACCAAAGTGCTGGGATTACAGGCGTGAGCCACCGCACCCGGCTACCTTTTGTATTTTTAGTAGAGACAAGGTTTCACCATGTTGGCCAGGATGGTCTCAAACTCCTGACCTCATGATCAACCCACCTTGGCCTCCCAAAGTGCTGGGATTACAGGCATGAGCCACTGCCCTTGACCAGAGAAAGGACAATTTAAGATAGTCCATGGAGGAGAAGAGACTAGACAAGGTTATGCAGATATTAAACCAGAAAGGACTTACTTCTTAAACAGGGAATCAAACCTGCACTGCCAGTGTGAAATGCCAAAAACACTAGCTACTGAGCTACAGCACAGGGTAGTCTCTGTTAGCCTTCCCAGAAGAAGTCTAGAGTAGTTAATTTTGAGCTTGCAGAACCTTTTAACTACTCAAGATAATTTTTAGAGCAACCTATGACATAAACCCTAATATCCCTGTTCCCTGGAAGGCAGAGACCAAGAGGAAGTACTGCCACGTGGTTACAAGGTCAAGCACCCAAGGACATAAAACAAGATGGAGACCCCATTCAGTTGTTTGTTTGTTTCAGGGACATACAGGAAAGTTTGTTATTAACCAGTTTGCTGGGTCATCTTGGGCAGCGAGTTTATGGGGTCCTAAGCCCATGTTTTATCCTAAGGTACCCCTCGACACAGAAAAACAAATTCATAGCACAAATACATCAGTTTGAGACTGGCCTCAGAATTTTTTTTTTTTTTTTTGCATTAATCATGTCTTTACAGAAGAGTAAACAGTGACTTTTACCATTCATTCAACTGTTTGCACAGAGAGAAACCAGAAATCTGACTGGTAAGAAATTCTTACCCTTGGGCGGATACAGTGGCTCATGCCTGTAATCTCAGCACTTTGGGAGGTTGAGGTGGGCAGATCATGAGGTCAGGAGTTCAAGACCAGCCTGGCCAACATAGTGAAACCCCGTCTCTACCACACATACAAAAATTAGCCGGGTGTGGTGGCACATGCCTGTACTACTCCCAGCTACTCAGGGGGCTGAGGCAGGAGAATCACTTGAACCTGGGAGGCAGAGGTTGCAGTGAGCCGAGATCGTGCCACTGCCCTCGTGACAAAGCAAGACTTCAACTCAAAAAAAAAGAAAAAAGAAAAAAGAAATTCTTACCCTTTTACCAGCATGCCAGGCTTCTTGGTTCCCTTTCCTTTGCCCCAGCGACCCAGCTTGCACATCATCACACTGGGGGCCAAGCTTCATCATAAAGGAAAATTATCTTTTTTGGTTCTGACCAGAGTAAAATACATGTAATAAAACACAGACATTGGTCACTCTGCTTAGCACCCAATATCAAACGGGCAAGGCTTAAATTTGCTCACATGGGCCTCTTCATCTCTAATCCAACCTCCGACTATGAGTTTCAACACGTGTTCTCTGGGCAAAATATTTGCCCTGAGTAACAGAAAAGATAAAAAAGGGAAAGGAGAGAGAAAGAGAGAGAGATTGAGAGAGAGAGAGAGAGAGAAAAAAAAAAAGCATTGTCTGTGGCAGGGTGGGGAAGGCGAAATACTCAGGGAGCCCAGAGAAAGACCCACACTGAAAAGCTCAGGTGGCTGCAGCTGCTGTCATGAAGGGATTTATTTTTTTTCCAGCAGTCCCGTCAGCTCTCAACTTTCCCCTTTTGGGGAAGAAAAAAGCTCCCCATGTCCCACGATCCTCTATATGCCTAATCCTGTCACTCACAGTTGTCAGCAAAGAGTGCAAGGCAGATTATTCCAAAGGGAATAGCAGTTGACATCCTGTGGTGCCAAATTTGTTTTCAACCAAAAGGGACTTTACTGAGAGCCTTTTTTTTTTTTTAAATACAATCTCACTCTGTTGCCAAGCTGGAGTGCAGTGGCGTGATCTTGGCTGCGATCTCGGCTCACCGCAACCTCCGACTCCCTGGTTCAAGCAATCCTGCTGCCTCAGGCTCCTAAGTAGCTGGAATTATAGGCACATGCCACCACGCCCAGCTAATTTTTGTATTTTTAGTAGAGACAGGGTTTCACCATGTTGGCCAGGATGGTCTGGATCTCCTAACCTGGTGATCTGCCCACCTCAGCCTCCTAAAGTGCTAAGAATACAGACGTGAGCCACCACTCCTGGCCAAGAGCCTTCATTTTAAAATACATTGCTGTTCATTCAGAACGTTCCACTGTAAGTTATCTTTAGCAAGATTTTGCTGTTTCTGTAAGACTTCGCTGCCTCCCAGGCCTAAAGTATAAGCTAGAAGGAACTCAGTTTTCCACAAATTAAGGATCACATTTTTATCAAAAATATTGGCTTTACTCTCAGGTTCTCTTGATCAACTTAGCCAATAATTTTTCCTACCTAAGCATGCAAGAGAAATGAAACAAAAGGGTAGAACACAAAAATCCCTGTGAAGTTTCCAAAGCCAAATTTTATAATCCCTGAAATGTTACTGCTTACTACCAGTTCCTTTCTGACCCATTCAGATGTAAGACACCTCTAACTGGATCCAAGCCAGTTCATTACTGGATCAAATCCATTCCTGGACCCAGTCCAGTTTCTGTTGCGACTCCAAACCCAGTTTGAATCAGATATTTGCTCAAAGAAACTTGGAGAGCTCAAAACACAAATCTGTGGAACTCTGAAATCCAAGAGGAAGCTTACTCACGATCCCCAGCCACTCTGAGAGATCAATGGACACAAGTGGGTCCTGCAGTCACCTTGCGTGTTCACTTGGTGCTCCTGGGGATCACTAGAAGCTCCACTTCAGATCCCGCTTCTGACACCATCTGATAAAAGAAAAACTTCAGTCAAATTAAATTTAAAGGAGTTTAATTGAGCAAGGAAGGATTCACAAATCAGGCAGCCCCCAGTATCACAGCAGATTCACAGAGACTCCAGGGGTGCCTCATGGTCAGAACAAATTTATAGACAAAAAGTTAAAGTGACGTACAGGAATTGGAAGGGAGGTATAGAAACAGTGAGACTGGTTACAGCTCTGCATTTGCCTTATTTAACACAGTTTGAGCACTGAGCAGTCTATGAGTGGTTGAAGTATGGCCACTGAGATTGGCCAACACTCAGCTATTGTTACAGGTGCATACTATTAAGTAAGGTTTTCAATTTTGTCTGATTATTAAGCTAAGTTACAGTTCAAGCAGAAGGACTCCAATATAGAAGTATGGAGACCTTCTCAGGTCATATTTAGTTTGCTTTAACAGCCCTAAGCAGTTCCCAGGTTGACTTTTCCCTTTAGCTTAGTGATTTTGGGGGCCCCTGAGATTTATTTTCCTTTTACATTTCCCCCCTTTTCTTTTTAAAAATCTTTTCTAGAAAGCATTTTAAAAGAAAATGAGTCTCTGGTTTGAGGTTTTGTTTGATCTCTCATGGCTAGGATGGTTTATTCCTAGACAGGTAGGTCCTGAGCTATTAGGAAAGTTCATTTTTAGCAGGGTGTGAAGTCTCATGTCCTATAAAGAGAAAATAGCGGGAGGAAGGAAGAAAACAACAACAAACAAAGAAACAATCCTGGAAAATCAATATAGGCCACATTACTCTGAAGTCCATACATCAGTAGGCAGATATGAAAGTGCCTTATGTATGTAAATAAGTTACTATTATTTTCTTCTGAAGTTTAAGTTGTCTAGCTTCAGTTTACAGGGTTTTATGAAAATGCAGCTTAGTTTTTGGTGACTCCAAATTATAAAAAATGGGGAAAAAAGAAGGAAAAAAATTGAAAACATTATTTTGCAGGCTTATAGCCAAGAAAAATTTGTCCAAATTGTAGGAAATAATAAAAATTGAAAAACATTAGGTAAGACTAGAATCTAACAACAGATTACTGTAGTTTTTGAAACATATTTTTTTCTCTCTCCGGTTTCCCATTTTTACTAAAGACAAATCATGGCAGGACTGGTTTGCTTTATTATACTTGGCCTGATTATTTGTATACAATGCAGTCAATTATTTTTTTACATAGCCTTTTAAATTGGCTTTGA